AAAACTTGTCACCAGTAGATTTCTGTGGCGCTGTACCAAGTGTCCAGTTGTCTAAAGGATACTAACTATGCTTCCTTTTCATTTGAATATTGGTCTTCTTTCTTTATGGTTTGCCAAAGGACTTGTTTTACTGGTGTATGCAGGTTTACTCTGGCCTCCATTCTCGCATTGGGTTCATGAATATGATTTGTGATGGGTTTTCTTGGACTGTTCTGAGGTGCATTCATGGTGACCAAAAAGTTCATTCTGGACAGCGTTTTGTTGCTTTGAAAGCAGAATGCAACTCAAAATTAGCTGTTGCTCTTACAATTATGGAGGACTGCTTTCTTCCCATGGTGGATCCCAGAACAGGCATAGACATGATTCCCCATGTATTATACAACTGGGGGTGAGTACTTTCTCTGTTTGAGTCTTTTGTTTTCCAATTTTTTTTTTCCTTAGCTGCCTTAACTCTGTGTGTGTGTGTGTATCGGTCTTGTGTTTATGCGAATAATTCTGATCCATGTTGGCATTGTTCGATGGATTCCTCCATTTCTCGTGGTGCTTTATAGAGAATGTTTCTTAATATTATTTCCATTGAACAAAGCATTTTCCCTAAGGTGAATACTTTCTTCCAGTGCACAGTGACCTGATTTAGAATTTGGTCTCAGAATCTATGCATGTTTATTCTAAATTTAGCTCAACGTTTGGCATTTATAAATAGAGACTGCTGAAATTTTAAAACAAATGAAGGATGCCTATGAATTTTGTTCATAAATATCAAATGACGAGATTACATCTTCATAAGCTGATGCACTTCCATGAACAAGTTTACAAGAAGTAAAATAACTCACCATTGAAAAGACAACAAGCATATACAATTGCATCGCTTTCAATATCAAACCTACGGGGAATTGATATGAGAGGATTATGGTGGGAATGTAAGTAATTGAGGTGGAACTTTTTAGTTTCAGTTTTGGGTTCATACTTTGACTTTTCCAGTTGTGTGTGTGTTTTTTTTCCACTTTGATGAAACTCCTGAAATCTTTGTGTTTTCCATCTAATTAGTGAACAAGTTGATGGTTTTTTAGGTATCAGTGCGATAATTGGATATTTGTTGATCTTACACTTGTCAGAAATACGATAACAATGGAACAAAATCATTATATTCTCTACAAAAAAGCATTTGCAGAAAGCAAGCATACAATGCTTGGGGTGAAGCTGTAATAAAGGAACTTTGACTACAAATAGCTCTTTATATCTCCATGTGGGAGGATTTCTGTAGGATTCGTAGGTTTACTATCTTCATCATTGAAATTTTCGTAGTTCTGTTGGTTCTTTATTTGAAGTACACTTTATAGTACACCTACAATTTAGGATCAATGGGCTGTACTCAAACTAATGTAATATAATCATCGTCATAATGGCATGGGCTAAGGAAATGATTGATCCTTGGAACCGTCTGTCCTGCTCTTTTAGATCTCAATTGTTGTTGCCATTCTGAATGTATTGATAGCCTGTTTAGTTTAATCCTTTTTCTGTATCTCTTTCCCTAAACCTTCTTTTACATTACTTTATTGTTATGCCATTGTAGTGACACATTACTGTTGACCTATCCTTCTTGGTCCTCTTCAGATCACAGTTTGCTCGTCTAAATTATCATGGATTCTACACCGTGGTCTTGGAGAAAGATGATGTCTTAATGTCAGTAGCATCAATCAGGTACTTTTCTTGTGATATCTATTTTTTCTGTCTTCTTTCTGAGATCCAATGGTGACCTTATTTCTTTCTCATGGTTGTCGTATCGTTCCATGTTTCAAAGTTACTGCTATGGTTTTTTTTTCCAAGATGTGATCTGCAGTTTTTCCTAAACCTTCTGCGTTTGTTTTTTTATATTTAGTCCTCCGTGTGAGGGGTTTTGACCCCATTAACCTCTCTCTCTCTCTCTCTATATATATATATATATATCAAGTCCAGGCAAGGGTATCGTTGTGCATGTGTATGTGCTAACATATATAGTCTTTGTGGCCATGTCTAGTCTTTACTAGATTGAATTGTTTACATTGGACTATAGGTAGATAAACCAACACCGACTACAGTTTGGGAGTGGGTGTTAGTTCACAAATCTAGATGGTAAGCAAGAAAATGATCTTTCACATAAATGGATAGGTAAGAGAACACATCCACAATTGGTTAGCAGGACCTCTACATTCTTCTTCCCAATAAACCAGCAAGTGATTATGCTCTCAGCCTTCCCCTTGAACGTTCTCTCCTCCATTTCCAGTACACTAACAACACTACACGTATATTCTACAAAAAATTTCACAATTATTCAAATTAAAGGCATGCTAGAAATTCAACCATTAATGTGACACTAGCCATCAAATTTTCTATTTGTGAACGAAAATCATATCGAACAAAAAGTTCATTGCCAGAACCATTGTTGGCAACAGAACTTTTCTACCACCTATTTCCACCATTATGGCTGTCGTCAGCGGAGTGATCTGCACAATTAATCCTCCCATATCTGTTTCCCAATTTCTATTTACACTTCTGCCCATATTTTTTCTGACAATGCCAAATGTACCATCAGCATATCACCATTTTTGGCCATGGTTACTGGTTCCATCTTGAGATGGGTTTTGGTGGAGCTAGCCTATGCTATTAACATTCATTTGCTCTGTGATGGACGAATTCAAACATCTGTCCAAATTAGTGTACAAAATTCGGAACTCATGGAAGGTTGATAATGTTTAATTCCTTACATTTTTTCTTTTGGGTGACCTGAATGCTGCTAGGCAGCATATTTATAGATCAGTTCAGCACCATATGTCCTCGAAAGTGAAGAGGCATGCTTTGAAATTTCCAGACTATTAGGGGTGGTGCTCTTCACCTATTCAGTACCTCCTTTCCGTTGATGGAACTCTAGTGCCTTAATTCTGTCTTTGCCATTTTGATCTGTTTAAATCATGTCTTGAGTTATAGCATCAAATACCAGCTCTCTCTCTCTGTCTCTCTCTTTCACACACACACACACACAAACATTTGAACAGTCTCTAGAGGTTTCCAGTAATGATTTGCCATTTTTTTTCGTTCTATTATTGGTAGTTTCTATGTGCTATCTGATCTTTGCTAACTTTCCTCCTCTGAATAATGCATTCTTCCATATGGTTTTAACACAATGAATTGTTTTCATGCAGGATTCATGGGGTAACAATTGCAGAGATGCCCCTTATTGCTACATGCAGTAAATATCGTCGCCAGGGAATGTGTCGGCGCTTATTGAATTCTATTGAGGAGGTAACTTATTCAATTGAATAACTACATTGTTATCTGCTCATGACAAAGAAATTTAAATTTTCTTTACGTGACCTGCTCCTTTGTTGTACCTTGTATATTGTCTATATCAACAAATCATGCACTCAAATTTTCAAATTTATCTCATATGCTTGATTTCAAGTTTTTTTTATCTAATTTATTTTTAAATGGTATTTATGAATTGTCAATTTGTATAGTTAATATTCATTCCATTGTGGTTCTAGATGCTAAAATTTTTGAAGATTGAGAAACTCGTGATATCTGCCATTCCCAATGTTGTGGATACATGGACTGTTGGATTTGGCTTCCAGCCATTGGAAGATGATGAGAGACAGAGCCTTAGTAACATCAACCTGATGGTATTTCCTGGAACAATATGGTTGAAGAAGTGTTTGTGTGAGAATCAACCAGCAGTTCAACAAACTGGTGAGCCTTTCTTCCTCATTCTTTATGGACCTATGTTCTATTGGCACTCAAGCAAAAATTCTTGGACTTGCAGGAGCAAATGAACGAGGAGAAGTCGGGTTTTTCTCCAAAGTTGGTCCCGATTCAATGCAACAATTAGACGATACATCCTGTGATCATGAAGTTGATGTGGAAATGGAGTTTAGACCTGCTGAGTGCAAGAATTTGCAGGTAGATGGAGACCAGGATGAAAATTTGCTTGGACATTTTTCAGAACTGTCCTTTAAAGAACCAGCTTCAGAGTCTGTGGGAAACCAAGTTGAAGTTCTTTGTCATGTAGAATCATTGAATTTGTATGATGAAAGAGTACAAGAGAATGAAAAATAAAAAAAAAAATCCATTAAGAAAAAATGAATTTTGGTTTTTGCTTTGAAGTAATGATTTCTCAGTAGACTTTGTGGCTAGAAAAGGTAAGTGAAAATTAACGAGGTCGTGGAAGTAAACAGAATGGCTTGGGTGGGGCCTTGCGCCGGCAAGTATATAAATTGCAGTCGTTGAAGCTGAGCAAGCTACGTGGTTCTACACCACTCTTAAAAGTTATGAATTTTTTATTTTATTCAATGGTCAGTACGGATTAGTTTATGCACATATTTTATTCATGTCGAGACTTGAATATTTACGAGAAATATCGTTCACGTCGAAATTTGAGTATTTATGAAAAATAATTTTTTCATGATTTAGTTTCAAACAATTGTTTAAATTCGAATTCATAACATTTGAATTTAAAATTTGTCTTTATTATTATTTGAAATACTCTTTGGAGTTGATGTAAGCTTCTATCACAAAGCTGGTACGTAGCCCCCTTTTTTTTTATTTTTACGTATTTAGAGCCGTCCTTTAACCTTATTCTTACCCTATGGTAGGATGCTGGTACGTAGCCCCCCCTTTTTTTTTTATTTTTACGTATTTAGAGCCGTCCTTTACCCTTATCCTTACCCTATGGTAGGATTAATGAGTACTATGTATTTCATCATCTCATTTTATGAATATAATTAATTTTAATTTATTTAATTAATCATATCAAATATATCAAACTAACATGTCTAAAACATATTTGAATCACGGATCTCGTGAATCAAAAGTTTAACATTAAAATCTCTTTAACCCATAAGAAAACTCAACGCTAAATCGTGTGAAAAATTTTCTTTACCGCCCGTTTTGTCTTGTGTTGATGCGGCGTCGTTTGGGCTAACAGCACCATTTGCTGTTATCCAGGAACAGCAGAACAGCCGTGCCCGAATTTTTGCTGTTAACGACCAAAAGTGAAAGCTCAACTGAAACTACTATGAAACTCCTCTCTCTCTCTCTCTCTCTCTCTGCGTACCTGCTTGATATCTCTCTGAAAGTTGATCGCTTCGCAGTTCTCTGAGTCACATCTCTTTCTGAAAGTTGGTCGCTTCTTTCTTTCTGTGTGTGTGTGTGGGAGTTCACTATTTGTTATGAATGATATCCACAGAAGCTTGAATTGTCCTATAGCCACACTCAGACCCTTTCATTCAAACCTTAATCACGAGTCCTAGAAAACCCTAGATTGCATTTTCTAGGGTTTTTGATGCCCAAAACAATCCTATCTCGCCATGCCTTCTTCTCCTAAATTCTTCTACGCCCGCCCTTCGTCGTACAGTCACAGATCCACGGTCCTGATTGTCTGTTTCCTGATCGGACTCTCCGGCTTCGTATTTGGGTTCGTCGCAATTTCTAGACATAGTCTTTCCGGGTATAAATGTAGATACGATAAACCCAGATCGGTGTCGGTGGTTTGGGAGAAAAGTAGTGCTGGTGCTGGTGTAGGAGGAAATCAAAACGGTGGCGTTTCGGATGGGGATCAGAAGAGGTATAAGGTGATGGGCTTTGTTGGGATTTTCACTGGGTTTGGATCGGTTTATAGGCGGCGATCGTTGCGCCAGACTTGGATGCCATCAGATCGACAAGGGCTTCAACGGTATAGTTTTTTTCGCCTATTTCTTATATGTGTATGTAGTTTTTAATACGTATATTTTTGGGTTTGGATCATTAGTGATCTGTGATGAAACACAAGGTTCCTTGCTTTTTGCTTCCATTATGATCTGTGTGGCTAGGAAATTGTGTAGCACAACCAGTCTGAAAATGTTGGCTTTGATGATATAAATAAAAAGGTCGAGTGGCTCGTTGACAATGAATTTTCAATTGTTGGTTTCATGTGATAGTTTGAGTTGTATAACTTCTGACCTATTGAACGGCAATGGAACTCAAGTTTGTGCATTTGTAATATCTTTGGTTCAATGTGAGTAGATGATGATTTTGAAGTCTCCATTTGAGAGCGAATGTTATGAGTTCAAATATTTGACTTGTGACAAGAGAATTGGTTTTTCTAAGCAATCTTACATAAGTGATCTTTGGATTATAGACTGCGGTGATGCACTGTGCTTATGATATGAGAAAATTAGTTCAATACAAAGGAGAACCAGAGATCTAGATCAAGAAGAAGTCTTTAACTTAAATTCAAACAACTCAATTGCCACTGTTGAATACAACTTGCAAGAATTTATAGCCATCAGGTTTTATGTAGCAATGATTTGATCTACCCCATCATTTAGATCTAATTGAAGTAAGCTGTTGAGCAGAAACAAAAGGCACTACCAACCTATAGATGTCCTGTGATATGCGTATGAACTAAATATTAAAGTCTAATGATTGAAATATGCCTCCAATTGTCCAATTAGAACTTCCATGAGTGACCAACATAATAAAACACTAAATAGAAGATATATACAGATGGAAGGCCAAATAAGTGACCCAAAACAGCTGAATAACCACACAATCTGATCATAGTCTATCCCTTTAAGGCGATCCCATCTTTCCTATGCATGCCTTACATCTGGTGGTGCTAAAATTGCCCCACCTATTAATCTACTTTGAGGAAGTTTGTGATGGCACGCATTATCAGGTTTCACTTTAGCTAGCACCTGCGGTTGGGGATTGGATAAAGAGAATGGGAAGAAGAGATTCCAAAGATCCAGAGACAAGATGCCAATGGCTTCAGAAATACGGGGGTGAAGGATTGTTATGGATCCAACAATTAGATTGTTTCGGGGATAACTACGCACACTGCTGATGATAAGAAAAGTTGTTACCTACGCGGAATTAAAGTGAGGAACCTCTTTTCCGGTTCTGGAGGGAAGGAAAACGAAAGTGGAAGCAAGGACTAGAAAATTATCCTTACAAGTGTTTGACAACTGACACTGGAGTTTGTTTTAGTAATTGTTGAAGGATTTTCATTTTTCATATGGAGCCAGAGTGGACTAATTACAGTGGTTTAAACTAAGTCTGTATATTTTGTTGTATGAACAATACTCTCCGAGGACTTTGCAACTATTCTACACCTCTGAATACATGACTACACACATGTTTAGTAGATTGTCAGCTATTTTGTAACTTCTTTATCGAGCGCGTTTTTGCTAACCACTCTTCTGGAATGGAATCACAGGTTGGAAGAAGCCACTGGCTTGGTCATCAGATTTGTGATTGGTAGAACCAGTGACAAATCGAAGATGGCAGAGGTCAGAAAGGAGGTAGCTGAATATGATGACTTCATCCTATTAGATATTGAGGAGGAGTATAGTAAGCTACCATACAAAACGTTAGTGCTCACAATATTTATGTACAAGTCATCAACACCAATAGACTGCTATTCACACTAACTTTTGTCTCTATTACAGTTTAGCTTTCTTCAAAGCTGCCTATGCACTTTTCAACTCCGAATTCTATGTTAAAGCAGATGACGACATATATCTGAGGCCAGGTAACTAGTTTTATGAAGCTTATATATGCTCAGAATTTTTCATGTGCTTTGTTCTTGAGATGTTCTATGCAGTCACATTACTATCATGTTTCGTTTCGCCAGATCGCCTTTCACTGCTTTTGGCTAAAGAGCGCTCTCACTCTCAAACATACCTTGGATGCATGAAAAAGGGTCCAGTATTCACTGACCCACATCTCAAATGGTTAGTCCTATTATGCTTGTCTATGTGTTGTTCATGTTTGTTTCCAATCCCCATTTCATGTACCAAGATGATCCATATGCCAGGTAAAAATGGTACATACCTTACCCTAGCTAAGTTTCCCTGAATGACTACCAGTAAATTATGCACTCGACAGAATCCCCTGAGAAGGTTTCTTATTCTCTATTCTTTTATTTGAAAAAAAAATGCACAGGAAACATGCCACTAGTTTTTGTAAGAAATGTTTACCTTGTTCATTGTACTTTTGGAAGTCAGAGAACCTTGTGGGCCAAAGAGTTTAGTCGACACATGGAGTCGAAGAAAGCGACATTATGGTCTTTAATGTAATATCTGGAGGGAGCTAATTCAAAATTGATTTATGAAAACACTAGTATGTTTCAATTATGAAAACCTTGAGGGAGGTAACACAATATACCTTTATGAAGGCCTGTATGTAGCTTTTTCTCCGCCAATTAAGTGAGCATAGCCTCTGAGCAACACATTATTGGCAAGTTGGTGGTGCTAGTGATGATCAACAACCAATTCCTGCTTTATTTATAATTAGTATTAGTGTCTTTATTTTTTTGTTATCATTAGAAGTTGTTTAGATCAGTTCAATTCTTGCAGGTACGAGCCACAATCCTCTTTACTTGGGAAGGAGTACTTTCTACATGCTTATGGTCCAATTTATGCTCTTTCTGCGGATGTCGTTGCAAGCTTGGTTGCTTTAAGAAACAACAGGTAAGATTGCTTTCCCAACGGCATTCTCTGCAAGACTATTTCTGGGATTGATCTATGTTGGTGTTTTTTGTTGGCCTAAATAACGAATATACGTTGCTCGAAACTTGCAATTCCTGGTCTCAACCTATAAGTTTTCATATGGCTTGAGTCTGTTCTCACAAATGCCGTGATCAGAACCATCAGCATCTGAATCCCTAATGGACTCACAGCAGCCTTTCCTAATGGCTTGCATCTCCTCAACATGAGAGAATTTTGTTTTCCATCTCTTATTGTTTTCAATTCCAGCTTGCTTCTTGCATAACACGTTTTGGTCCAGTCCTTCCTGCAGATAGTTTTTTTTTGCCTTCTTTTTTGGTGTGTGTTTTTGGGGTGGGGGGAAGCGATGTTTAGAAATACTACAAAGTGCCTGTGTCTGTGTGTGATATTAATCCTTACAAATGCATGTCAAGAAAATTCCCTTCTTTCTTTTACCTTTTGTGACAGCTACGTGTGTAACATCATCTCAATAAAGATACTATTTACATTGTCTTCCGATTCTCCATCTGGACTCCATACCTTTCATTTAATGTGTTCTAGTTTTATTTAAATTTGCAGTTTCCGCATGTTCAGCAATGAGGATGTCACAATTGGTTCATGGATGCTTGCAATGAATGTCAACCATGAGGACAATCGGCTACTATGTGAACCCGAATGTACTCCATCTTCTATTGCTGTGTGGGATATTCCGAAGTGCTCTGGTTAGTGTCTCTTCTAGTAGTTCCAGGTTCTCTCAGAAACTTGCTCTAGTTGTGGAAGTGCAATTATATCCCACCTAGCTAGACAATAAAAGAGAGTAATTTTTCAGGACCTATATGTGCTCTCTTGAAATTAACTGTTTGATGTGTAGAACACATAACATAAATGTATGTTTAGCAATGGGAAAATCAGTAGTGATACTGTTTCAATATGTTGCCAATAGCCTGTAAGATGAACAAATGTTAGCCATCCAAATAATTGGAATTAGCTCACGAAAAGGATTGTTGAGTTTAGAGGAGTGGTGTTTGTCATGTTCTATGGATGTTGTTATATACAGGATCATATCTGAAAGCTGCAGAACCACAGTGGTTTATGTACTTCAAATGCTATGTGGAACATTAAGTGAATAACATCACCTCTTTGAGATGCAGACTGTTATATACTGGTTTGTTCAGTGTACTATTCTGCTTCTTGTATCTCCCAAGATATGATCACTAGAGTGCCAGGGAAAATCCTGGTATGACATATAGCCACACTTGCACCAGTCAGGATTTGCGAAAAAGTTTGTTCCATGATAATCTTCTTAATTTTTGTCGACAATGCACCTGGCTGAAGTTATTTTATTTTTTTTGATCAACTACCTGGCTGAAGTTTAGTAATGCAAAAACATGATATACTAAAAATACTCTCATTTTGCAGGGCTCTGTAATCCTGAAAAGAAGTTATTGGAGCTTCATGAAAAAGAAAGCTGCTCAAAGAGTCCAACTCTAGAATCTGACGATTAGCACGATGATTTGAAGAATGTCTTTTTCCTTCCTGTGGTCTTGCTGCTGCTGGATATGTTTCGTTTTGACCACTATTTTCTCTCAGTTTATCTCTTCTTTGTTGTAGTATATTTTTTCAATTGATTATATCTAACAAACGAATTTTTGCGGAAAGAATTTGCATTTTCTCACCTTCAAGAGTTATAGAAGTTATTGAAATAGTTACTTGCTGGGGGAATGATCCCCAATTTCTACTTTCACTCCCTGTAACAAACTGAATGTCGATACTTTTCACTTCTCTTAATTAGTCAATTTTTTTCTCCTCAATTTCAAATGGTGGAGTATAATTACTGCATGATATATTAATTATATTCATCAATTAGGAATTATCAATAGTTCATGAAGCATATGCAGCAAGTGTTCCTGTAGCATCAATGGTTAGTATTATATCTGACAGATGGGCTGAAATTCTTGTTATGTTCTTTTACTGGACTAAGGCTTCCCTTCTGCTACTTGAGGCAGCTTACAGAGTTTGTTGCTTCTCTTGGAGCTTTTATACCTGTGATTTTGAATTTTGAATTTTGAGTGTCTGTGTGGGTTTTTTTTTTGTGTGTGTGTTGGGGGGGGGGGGGGGGGGTAGAAGTGAGTGTGTGAGTGAATGATGATAGGGATGGTGGTGGTGGGTTTTAGGAATGAAGGTATTGCATATTGGTAGGGTTGATAATGGTGCTAAGTCTGTTGAACGGGTTTTTTTAAAAGAATCTAAAATATTATTTAAGTTTAACTCATTTTTTAAACGAGTCAAACCTGAATCGAATCTAAAATGAACTAAACTCGAATATTTACATATAAACGAATTGAGCTTGTACAGTTTGTTTTTTCTAACGAGCCTAAAAAATTGTTAGTCTAAACCGAGCTAAAACAAATTGAATCCGAGTAATTCGGTCCGATTATGTTGGTTAATAACTCGTGACCATGAACTCGATGCCTCTGGCTTTTTTTTGGGGGGGGGGGGGGGGTGGTCTTGGGCCTCCTCCATTGTAAGAAGAAAATTGTAAAGTGGACTGGATAAAACCAAGTAGCAACTTCATATGGCATACCGGTTGTAATCAAATCTACCATAGCATAGAGTATGTTGTGTAGTTGAAGTTAAGTTTGAAGTGAAATATCAAATAATGATTCCTACCTTAGTGGAGTAAGGATTGAAGTGAATTATCAAGTAATGATTCCTACCTTAGTGGAGTAAGGCTTGGCACTTGCTGGTCAAGGTAAGCAGTAGCAATGATAGATGGAACTACTTAAAGGGTATCAAGTTAAGGGCCCATAGACCAAACTCCAGCCTAGATCCTTAGGCCTGAATTTTGGACCCCTTTTTACTCACTACATGGAGCCCTCAACCCATTCAAGCTAAAGTTAATGGGTTTTTCCTCAATAGTTTTTGTTAGGGGTGTAATTTGAGTGGGTTAGCTTGAATTTAACTTGAATCCAACTCAAATAATATTTTTCGGATCAAGGTTTTTAGAGTTGGGATTAGGGTTAAAAAGTTTTAATCTGAATTGAATTCGGGCAAAGTTCGAGTTAAGAGTTTGGGTTAACGGGTTTAATCTGAACCCAACCCGAATTTATGTATTATATTTATATAACAATATAAATATATATTTTGTAATTATTATTATTTAAAGGGGGGTGAAACATGATTTATAAGAACAATAGATGGTGAAAGAAGTTACACAACTGATATGCGATAAGTAAAAAAGAAAAAGAAAGACAACGATTTATCATTCCACATTAGATAGACAATTCAAATGACTTCTCCCCTCTTTCCTATCCTATATAAAGAAAGTTCACCCTTATACCCTTAATAAGTTATTTTGATGTGTTTCATCTTAATGAGTCATATAGACCTATATAATAGTCCAACATTATGCAAAGACTCACACCTAATTTAAGATTATTGTTTGTTGAACTTGAATTGTCAACTTGAATTGAGCCCGAATTGGGTAACCTAATTTTAATCCAAGTTTACCTGAAATTAACTTAGGCAATACTAGGAATTGAGGAAGGGTTAAGATTAAGATTAGATTTAAAAATTTTATACCTAATGTTGATCTTTTAACCCGTTCAACTTGCACCCCTAGTTTTCATCTTTGATCCACTCTCTGCACAATGGTTTGTGTGGTTAAAAATCGGTTAATATATTTTGATGTTAGGATTCAAACCTCAGAACAGTCATTTTGCGTAAATAATGCCTAGATTTTCATATTTACTTAGTTTATCTCCCCCAAACACCAGTAACAAATACTAAAATCAATGAATTCATGACCACCTTTACTCCGAGGGCTAACGTCTCGTACCTTTGTTTCTGTTTTAGACCAAGTTTACATGACTTTCAACAACATAGTTCAATGAAAGTTCAAATTAAGTTCGATGTTTATATACCACTCTACACCCATCCACTTTCACCAAACGATATTAAATTGCTGGATCATCACACAAGGTGTGGTAGGATGGTCAGGCTTGTAGACTTTTGTTATATGAATTAGTTTATGTATGAATTATTCAGTAAGAGACAGTGTGTGTGTGTGCGAGAGAGAGAGAGAGAGAGAGAGAGTCCCCACAATCAACTAGAGTCTCCAAAATGATGGCTTCTCTTCCATTATAAAATGGGCATCACGTGTCCTTGCAGTTTCTCGATAGAGAGGGAGGGGTTTAGCTTAGCTAACCACAGGTGAGGAGAGAGTGAACTGACGCTGTTTGAATAATAACACAGCACTGCTCTGATCTGAATCTGTCACCTTCTACAGCATATGCTTATATTTATATAAACATACATAGAATATATATGGACTGACCCGAATTTAAGAGTCGAATCTAACAAAACTTTTTGAGGAGGGTATCGTCATGTACACAAACAAGAACAAAGAAACAAGAGAGACATTCAGACATATACAAAAGAAAACTGATTGAATGACTAAAGTGACTCAACATCAACAACTAAGGACAAAATATTCCCAGCCCAGCCATGAGGGAGACGGCTCTCATTCTCTTTCTCTCTCTCGTGGTGTGGTGTACAGTGGGTGAGGGAAAGGGGGAATCCAATGTGTGTTATAAACAGAACACATGGATAAAATATCATTGAAAATTAGCTTGCAAGACAAATATGAACAAAAATACATATGAAACATCTAAACCTATGCCTAAACAATGTGAGAATATTATAAAACATTTAACCACACTGCTATAGTTGTCATCTACGATTTAACGATAACCCTTTTCCTTTAACAACTTCACTGACTTATTAATATGCAATTAACTCTATGCTCATAACTTGGACCAAAATATTTTAATCCAGTCTATAAATTGGCCATTGACATGACTAAACTCGTGACGTGGTATCGACTTTTAAACTAATTTTTATTATCTTCTAATAGAAATTTATCCTTAAAAATCGACTTATAAGAAAAAATTGCCCAAGAGATCATAATTAAGCCCATGTGGAATCGTAACAATGTTCCATATGAGCAAACTTACCACCTTATGTCATATTTATATGCATGCCACTTATGTCATACACATTGAAACACCAAAGTTATGCTTTGACCCTCCAAGGTTTGATAATGAATTCCTAGTCCTAACAATTCACTGTATTAAAATTCTCGAATTAGAGTCATAAAATTGAATTATCAAAGGGGCAGTGCACGATCTCCTTCCTTTAATTTGTAAACTACTTAGAACTTCTCTAATGCAATATACACAATGAATGAACAGCTCAAAGAAAGATGTCATTGCTTTTTCAGTTGTGACCCAATCTTTTTCCAAAAATGAGAAAGGAAACAACAAAAGAAAAAGAAAGCAGAGAAACAAATGAAGACCCTTCAAATGAGACTCTTGACAGATATGATAATTGCGTTTTATATTTCTTAAGACTTTTGTGATTCGGCCCCTTACCAATTTGAGCTTCCACTCTCTCAGACATTCGAAGTTTAAGACCCTAGTTTGGGTCTCTCACATGGCATTTCACTTTTACGGACAATGCCTAGATTAATCCAACTTCTCCATGTATGGAATTGGTGGTTTTGTACTTCTGTGGGACGCTAATATAGGGATTTTACTGAAGAAAATGGACTAACTTAATGTGCACACATGACTTAACATTGCTGGTACTAGCAGACTTGTTTAGTTAGCAATTTAGCAAGATCTCCTCTGCATAGTTTTGTTCGACTTTTTTTCATGATAGATTGATTATTCACTGTTTGTTATTAAGAATATACTTGTAAGCCTATTGACCCTTTCATATATTTTTGTTGGAAATTACAATCAGAGTATATACCAATTGACGCAGCAGAACAAAGAATCACAAAGGACACAACGATTCTAATTCCTCATCTAATCTGAGTACCCGTAGCATATGTGGTTCTCATGATGGAAAAAAAACTAATTCCTCATCTAATCTTTTTTTAGAGGTTCACATGAAAATACTATTCTCTCTCTCTCTCTGTGAAGTAGGAATTTTGCAGCTGGCTAGCTGACATGAAACTTGTAAGGTTTGTATCTTAAGGTAAGTGCCATGACGAGAATGAAATGGAGGTGAGCTAGTGGTCACTTTTACAAGAAGAGAGAAGATGTACAAAGGGCACCATGTTCTTGAAAGAAGGATAAGGATAGAAGAAACGGTTTGAGAAAGGGAAATGACTTCTAGACAGAAACAACCTTTTGAAAACGATTTCCCACTGCAAAGTCCCCCTAGATATCATGGTTGCTCTTCCATTGCCATGTGGCCATCACGTGCCTACCCAGTTCAATGACAAACTCTCTTATCCACTACAAATAGCAACAAGAGAGAGAGAGAGAGGTATGTAGCTTCGGTGGCATTTACCAATTACCATGCTTTATGTTAAGTTTTGCAGTGATCAACTTTTTGTCACTGCACTGCCAGTTTCTTCAATGACTTTGTAACACAAAGTTAAAGCCTTCGTGGGAGGCATCTGAATGGAGACCATGCAGAGACAAGTAGAGACAAAGTAAGAACCAAAAACAAGAAAAGAACTGAAAAACATAAATAAAGAGAATCACAGGCCACACACACTTCTGAGGACAAAATTACAGCAAAACCATGAGGAAAGTTCGTCACCCCATTGCCATTCTCTCTCTCTCTCTCTCTCTCTCTCTCTCATGTGATGAACATGGGGGGTTCTGAGCCCTTGATTATAGGGTCTGCAATGTGCTTAAAATTTTAATAAATCCGTACACTCTTACACACTCTGTGTTTCCAAACCCCGAGACATTCCAAGTTCAAGCTCATCCTCTTTCA